TGTGACATGTTATAAAACCTTAAACATCCTCAAGTCACATAAAATCATATTTCGTATCATACCAAAAGAGGAACATCAACAATTTCAAATTGACATATTTCTATGCATTTGGCTAAAGCACAAACAAATGTCATAAAGTCAACCATTATCACCATATAAATTCTTCAATTCAAACAATCAACATAATCACATTAAACAAGCAAGATAAACAATCAAATTATAATCCAATGCTACCTTTTATCACTTGATTAATTTGGTCTCCTCAAGTGACAATGATCCTCCTTGATTCCTCCTCACAAAGCCTGTTAAATCAAGTATAAACATAGGCCACATTAATAGCCAAACCACTTAAACATAACACTTTCTCTTTAACTTAACATTTTCCCCCTTTTTCTTGGATTTTTAACAAAAATAATTCCTCCTTAAGAATCAATAAAATCATGACTCATTCCTACACAATTTTTCATGAGAAATTCAAATATGGAATCAGATTTTTAAAAAATAAAACTTCTTCCCTCTGAATTCCTCTTGGCCAAATAGGGGGTTTTAAGCTTCTAAAATTTCTATTTTTGATTTCAATGATTTTACACACTTCCTTTTAGTATCTCCCTACATAAAAACACATTTTTAAACCCATTGGAATCATGAAATTAATGCAAAACAAACTCCTCCAGTAAGAACACCCCTTGACCGAAATGAACATATAAAACCCTTGGTGTATTTTCTTTCAAAAACCATTCCATATACCACTTAAACAAGCTTATTCCATTTGATATTTAAGATTTCTATCCTTCCATACACCTTCCATGATCACACCTAAATGGGGTAGCATCTAGCCTTAGAATTTCAAGCTAAAACTTTAACTAAACTAGCTTAAAATTAGGGATAAGAGGGTTTAAGAATACCTTGATGTTTTCTTGATGTAATTTGAATGATTCCTTGTCCAAAACCTCCATAAATTTAGTCTCCCTTGGTCAGAAACGAAAATGGCAGCACCTCCCCTCTTTTTCCCACTTTTTCCAATATTTTCTTGTATTTTAGGAAGGGATATTTATAGAAAAACCAAGCTGCCTTTCCCCTCTAATTTTTGGACGTCCAAAATGGCTGAAATAAGGTGAGTTGGAAGCCATCAAATGTCTTACAACTTCAGATCTATCCACGTGTCCAAGCTCTAGATTATTCCAACAATTATCCCTTAATTTTGCATTTTATTTAATTAAAAATAGAGCTATCCAGAAGCTGCACAAAATTGGGCTTGAATTAGGCCTAATGTGGGCCCCAAAAATGGTTTATTCTGGTCCAAAAAGATGGCCCATAATCCAAATCAAAATCCCAAACTATTCCGAAACTTTATCGGTTACTATTCACTAGTAACATTCCAAAATTTTTCTAGGCCTCCAAAAATTCATTTCTCTTCATGATAATTCACATTTTAATATGAAAACATAACATGAAAATTTTCAGGATTTTTCACCACCTCTAGGTATTTATTTTGAATTTTCTCTGATTAGACCTTTATTGGTGTCACAACAAGAAAATAAATTCTTCAAAATTTATTACTGCACTTCCAAGGCCTAAAATTTTTTTTATAAATTCAAATAAATATTTATATGATTTATCCAACTTATTTCCAAATTTATTGAGGCCTCTAACTACTTAAAATAATTATTTTCTTTTGATTTTTTAATATTTTTCCTAAAAACCTCAGTTTATGAGAAATTCGTAATAATTTGCTTTCACCATAATTCCACCTTTGGGCCTCAACCAAATTTTTAAAACCTCTAACTTATACTTTTACTATTTTTTGGAATTTTTCTCAAATTTTTCCGTTTTGCCCTTCCTATACCGATAGTTATGAAAATGCCAGCCTGGACCTTATCAGGGTTTTACCTCAAATGTTATTTCATCTCCCCATCTAGTTTCTACATTGGCCCTTATTCCAATTTTTAACTTTCTATATCCAAGTGAAATTTCTCAAGATGTGACAGTGTTGATGTGTTCAATGCATATAAACAAGATACCTTTAGAGTACACGCCATAAGCTTTACCATGATAATGACTTCTTAGCATATGAAAATTTGTCATGATAGAATGTTAAGGGGCATAAAGTATGTATAACATGTGAAGAAGGCACTCATTACATGGAAAGAAGACAATCTACCTTGGTCAGGTTGACACCATCCTTATAGCAGGTTCAAGAAGGCATTTAATAGCTCACAGGAATATCAAATGGCTTCAATACTATTAACAGGAGAAAATGTTTATCAATGAGTAGAGGGAGTTATTGTCATCTTTGGTAAGAAGAAGAAGAAGACTACAGGTGAGGAGAATATATGGAAGAAGAAATCTATATTCTATGATCTTTCATATTGGTAGAGTCTTAAAGTGAGACACAGTCTAGATATAATACATGTGGAGAAAAATGTGTGTGGGAGCCTTGTTGGTTATTTTTTCCATAAAAGTGAAAAGACTAAGGATCAATAGGAGATGAGAGTTAGTTGAAATTGGAATAAGAAATTACTACACCCGCAAGAAAGAGAGGGTAAGAGGGCTAATTTGCACTCACTAGGGTACATATTGTCAAAGGAGGAGAATGCAAGCTTCTGTGGTTGTTTGAATGATATTAAGGTCACACAAGGGTATTCTTCTAGTTTGAGGAAGCTCGTTTCAATGTATGCTCTGAAGATAATGAGAATGAAGTCCTATAATTGCCATATATGGATGCAATAATTATTTTTAGTGGCTATTCAAGCCATTATGAAAAATGATGTGAAGAGTACCATTACTAAACTTTATATGTTCATCAATACTATTTGTAGCAAAGTAATTGATCTTGTTGAGTTGGACAAATTAGAAAATGAAGGTTACATTATCCTTCCCTAATTGGAGATACACTTTCCTCTAGTATGTTTTGCCATTACGGTGCGTTTGGTAGTTCATCTTATATGAGAGATAAAACTTTATGGCTCGATATGTTTAATATGGATGTAGTTGTTTGAGAGATATATGAAAATTTTAAAAGGATATTCTAAGAGTCCTTATCATCCTAAGATATCAATTGTTAAGAGATATATGGCTGAGAATGCTATTGATGGGATTAAGGTAGTTGGGCTTCCTCAATTTCAGCATGATCAAGGGAGAAGCAATGGAACGCGGAGCGTCATAGTAAAGTCATGTCTCGTGAAGTGGTGATGCAAGCACATATATATGTTTTGAATAAAATAGATGAAATTCTACCTTACTTGAATGCTCACAAGAATATGTTGAGAAACATGAACCCATAAAAGAATGATATGCAACTAGCTAATAAGCATAACAAGTCAATTATAGTGTGATTCAAGCAAGAAGTATTAAAGGATGGCAATCCTTCTGAGACAAAATAAATGTTAGCCACAGGGCCTCATCTTGACATTGTGTGCTAGGCAGATATGATGTAAATGGTTATGCATTTAATACAAAAGCCTAAGATAATAAAAGTATCATATAGAATAGTAGGGTAATAATAGTAGCCTAAGTTATGCATTTTGATAGTTCAAAAGATAAAATCCCAACATTGGCATTCATCTCCTATTATGGAGTAGTAAAAAAGATATGGGAGGTTAGTTATACCAAGTTTAAAGTTTTTCTTTTCAAATATAAGTGGGTTAATAATAATACTGTACAAGCAGATGAAGAATTTGGATTTATTTTAGTTGATCTTGAGGGGGTTAGATATAGGGATGAGCTATTCATTTCAGCAAGTTAAGCAAAACAAGTGTTTTATGTCACTGATCAAGCAAAGAAACAATTGTCCATCATGCTTTAAGGTGTCATACTTCTCTTTATAACCCATTATACATCAATTGGAACCAATATAAGTCATTTCAGAACATTTCCGGATGGAAAATTTGAAATTCCGGATTTTACTGTTCATCCTGTCCGTACACTGTTCATCCTAAAATGAGCCAATTTTGAAAATTCATAACTAAATCCAAAAAAATCAAAACGAAATGGTTCCAATTTTCAAGTGAAGCTTGCTAAGAGTTCTATAGAGGAAAAAAAATAATCATTAGGTCTAATTCCATCCAGAATAATTCCAGAAAATTTGTCAAAGTGTACTGTTTATTTGGTAAATTTTCGAATTTTCAGTATTTTTGTCCAACTTTAGAAGGGCATAACACTTAGCACACAACTCAAAATTTAATGAATTACTACTTGTTTTAAAGCTAAAAATGAGATCTATTTGCCTATAAAATTTCATGTCTAAACTCCAATACTTGCTCATTATTTTATGTCCACAAGTTTGGCACTTTTTAGGAAATTTCTATCCCTTAATTACCATTTTCTTGATTTATTTCCCCCTTTTCCTTCAACCACATTCCTTCCACAATGCCTCAAGCATAATTCTAATATTGGAACATGGGATAACAATATAATTTACATCAAAATGTTGAAACATCCTACCTTTAATCCCTCAAAGTACGCATTTGTAAGCGTTATGGTTTAAGCAAGTCATGATACAAGCCCATGGATTTAAAAAAAATTCAACATAACTATTCGAATTATTGTTCACTATTTAAATTCAGGTTTTAGGTGCAGTTTTGAAAAATCATAACTAATTCTATAAAAATTATGTCTCTTTGTGTACAAATTTGATCGAGGCGATTTGCCTCTCCTTTTAAAGCTTCAGATTATGAATCTGCCAAATTTTATGGCTTAACTCATTCATTTGATAAGTCAAACTGAAGCTACAAACTCACTGTTCCATGACCTATGTTTTATCCTTTAACATCTTTTTACTTTAATTCTTTCTATTTCTTTAGCATACATAAATTGGGTTTACACTTTCCCAATCATCCTCATACATTTCTATTCCTCCCATAAACATTGTAATTAAATACATGGCATTATTGGTTTCCATAACATAAATTACATAATAGGAGAATTACACATTAAATAATAACATCATTCATTAACATTAATAATTCTTCACTTTCTTCTCCTTGCCTCTCATGCCATTATTGCCCACCATTGATTGACCTAAATAGTTGGTTAGGGAGGGGTGAGATTCGGAAGAATCTTAATAGCAAACATTACCCATAAGCATGCAAGACATAATGCACATGCATGACATGTTATAACATTAACACATGAATGCCATGGAAAGTAAGCTAAATCATTTCATGCTTTCATAACATATTGCCAAGGCAAAGCATGACATAAACTTACAAATATAACTTTGCAAACATTTCATCATAGCTTAGTCACATCATGGCAACACAACCACATCATGCAAGCATACATATGAAGCACACAATATAGGTAAGTTCACTACCTTATAACATAGCTTTCCTCTTGCTTTTCCTTTGATTCCCTTGTCTTTCCAATCCCATAGATTTTCGGTCAACACTATTAAAAATCCTCTTGGATGGTCCAAGATCCTAAACACATCAATACATGATGCAAAATAGTTATTAGAATCAAGTTATCAACTTATCTCTACTTGATTCTTTCTTGAACATACTTGAACTCTAACTTTTGAGTTTCAATTCCAACCTTCCTAAAATTATTTTCACATGCTATTCCCACATAATTTTGCATGTAGAATCCATTTCCAAGCTCAAAAAAATCAAAATCCAATCCTAACCATTCAGAACAGTCAAGGCTAAACAGAATCACAAACTAAGGGAAAGTTAGATTTCTTAGAAAATCAACACGAACCACTTGATTCTTGTTGTTTCCAAACCTTTAAACATGCTTTTAACATCCATATCATCTTCTCCTATTCCAATAAATTTCATGCAGTACCTCCCCATAGGATTTCAATCATCAAAAATCCAATCAAACCAACCACCAGCTCAAAAATAACAAGAGAGGTAGAAACTACATTAAAAACAGCAACACATACCTTGTTTTAGAGCTTGATCTGGCTTGGGATCACTTGGCCTTTCTTTCTCCCTCTTCTTTCTCTCTCAAGAAACCATTTTGCAAGAGCTTCCCCAAGGTTTCCATGGCTTAAGACAAAATGAGAGGGAGGGGATGGGTATTTATAGAAAACAAGACCGAATCTCAACCGTTGATCTTAAAAATACGTGGCTTGATCTAGACCGTCCATTTTCTCTTTTTATCTTATGATGACACGTGTCCTATGACATCATGCTTACCTCATCTTGATGACATCACACTTACATCATCAAGCCACATGTCTTTAATCCAACCACACATGTGCCTTGCATCCGACCGTACATGTGTCTTGTATCCAACCATACACGTAATACCTTCTTTTCTGATCTAACCGTACACTTATCCCTTCCATATTCCTTCATCATTTTGGTATTAAAATAGGGAGGAAATTAATATAAAATTCGTCCAAAATATAGCCCTTAGACATTCCTCTACCTATTTTGCCATTCTACACCGTATCGGGTACTTTTTTTGACTTCTGACTTACCTGATACCACTGGGACATGTTCTGGCACCATTTTCTCATCTTAATTAACTACATATATGGCGCCATCTTAGAGGAGCATAGATAAAAATAATTAGCTCTACTGACAGGCTATTTAACCTTACTGCGTCACGCAGTGGAGATTTCACTATAACAGGTAGACAAAGGACTATTTAAAATATTCCCGTACTGCGTTCTGACTTTTATGCTGTCCATAAATATCTTCTGCTAACTCAGCGTGATGACTTGTAGGTGTCATGATTGCATTTGGTGACTCAGCATGCTGACTCATAGGTGTGATGATTGCATTTGGTGACTCAGCATGCTGACTCAACGTCGTCATGATGGTGTTTAGATATTTACTTTCTCCTTTTCCCAGAAATATTCTTAAATAATACTTAATCAGGGTTACCTTCTCTAAATTCTTTCTATCAGCTCGTAACTCTGTTGATTTGTCTCTGGGTTTCATTCTTTCCCTTTCATCACAAGAAATTCCTCTAATTTTTCTCGGGTCAAAAGTCAAACTGTAAAAAACTATTTTGACTTTTCCCGGATAGGGTATAAATAGGCTTTAAATTTAATTAAAGCTAACATTGTCAGTTTTCTGGGGATGGAATTAATTTTACAATCTGTGTTTTTCCTGATTATTTGAGGCCGTCTCATAGCTTAAATAATTCAATTTAAGCTACTATCTCAAATTGCTCAAAACCCTGGAATGTCTTCAGGGCATTTCCATCATTTCTAGCCTTATATTGGCTCTGGGATCCTATTTCCATTTTTCTGGAATTTTTCTAAGTCATTTGGGCCCTTTTTACTAACTCTGAGCATTGACCAACCAGAACTTTTATTATTTACAATTAGGTCCCTACTTGGCCTAGGAATCTTTTCTTTGCAATTTAATCCCTCCTTAGGCCTAACCTTCGGAACCATCTCTTGTAAGTTTCTAGCATAACCTCTGGCTCTTAGTTGTTTCCAGTTAGTCATTCTTTAGTCCTCGAACACTATTGTTTTACACATTTGCCCTCAGAAAATCTCTTTTTCCTTCTGAGGGGTTTCTGGGACTTTCATTGTATTGGACTTAGTAATCATCCTTTCCTTATACTATTACTTGTATCTATGAGTCAAAATTTGGGATGTTACAAATGTCATCCATAACTTACTACAAAATCCATATAAGGTTCATTATACATTGCAAAAGTTTCTAACATAACATATATTCATAAAGCCATTTCATGCCAAGGCCAATTCCTTCCCTTGATCCATGCTTGGTTCACTTCCTAATTAGGGCTTAAAATAACATAGGAGGAATGAGATTTCAAAGAAATTTCAGTAGTATATGAATTATAATTGTCATGTAAATCAATGCAAGTTTAATGTGACATGTCATGCAATCCAAACCATTGCCAATTCATAAGAATTTATACCAAATATTATGCAAGGAGAGGAACATTATATTATCCACATTGACATACCACAAAGCATTTGGCCAAAGCATAATCATTGTCAATCAAACAATCAATATCATCACAAAGTTCCTCCAATCAAAGCAACAACATTTACAACAAACAAGAAAGATAAACAATCAAATTATAATTCAAAGCTACCTTTGCAAAGCTTCTCCACTTAATTCTTCCAAGGAGCAATGCTTCTCCTTAATTCCTCCTCTCAATGCCTATTAAACCAAGCATAATCATAGGCCATATTAACCACAAAACAACTTAATTCCAATACTTAAACCTTAACTCAACAATTTCCCCCCTTTTTCTTTGATTTTTAACAAATTGATTCCTTCTTTAGAATCAATCATCTCATGACTTAGTCCTACACAATTTTTCATGAGGAATCCAATGGTGCAATTAGATTTTTGAAAATCACACTCCTTCCCCATGAACCTGGTTTGGTTGAATAGGGGTCCTTTGTTTTCTAAAAATTCTATTTTTGATTCCAATGATTTTAAACACTTTCCAACATGATATCCCTACATGAAAACATGTTTTAAAGCCATTGAAATTATCAAATCAAGCAAAATCAATTAGCTCCTGCATGAACAGTGCTGGACGAAAATTCTCCCCTTAAACCCTAACTTTGATTTCATCCGAAAATCAATCCATACACCACTTAATCTTCCTTGTTCCACTTGATTATTAAGGTTTCTATCCTTTCCTAAGTATCACACATCTCAATTGAATTTCTTAGAATTTTTCAGCATTTTCCCAAGCAAATATCCTTGTTTAATCAATATAAAACTTAGAGATAGTGATGCTTGGACATACCTTAGTGTTTTCTTGAAGTAAGTTGGATGATTTCTTGCCTAAAAATCCTCAAGAATTTCATGCAACAGAGCTGGATGAACAGTGACAGAGTTTCCCCTTATTTTTCCCAATTTTCTAACATTTTCTTTGTATTTTCAAGGGGTATTTATAGACCAAAAATTTGCCACTTCCCCATGCCCAAATGATAGATAAGGAGGTGTGTTGGCTGCCATCAAGTGCGGAATTGATCAGATTTGAACATGTGGCCATTTGCTAGATTTTTGCACACAAATATCTCTTAATTTTTGTATTTTTCTTTAATTAATTGAAGCCTCCAAATTTTGCATGAAATTGAGCCCTTATTGGGCTCTATGTGGGCCCCAAAAATAGTTTAGGCTGGTCCAAAAAGATGGCCCACAAACCAAATCACTATCCCAAACCAATTAGAAACTTCATCAGTTACTATTCACTAGTAACATTTTATAATTTTTCTAGACCTCTAAAAATTCATTTCTCTCCATGATAATTCACCTTTTAATATGAGAATATGATATAAAAATTTTCATAACTTTTCACCACCTCTAGGTATTTATTTTGAATTTTCTCCGACTAAGCCTTTATCAATAAATCTGAGGGAAATAAATTTCCTAGAATTAATTCCTGAGTTTTCAAGGCCTAAAACTAATTTTATAAATTTAAATAAACATTTAGATTAATTTTCCATCAATCTCTCAAATTTATTGAGGCCTCTAACTCATTAAAATAATTATATTTCTTCATTTCCCCAATAATTTCTTGAAAACCTTTGTTTACAAGAAATTTCGTAATAATTCATTTTCACCAAAATTTCACCTTTCGGGCCTCAATCGAGTTTTCAAAACCTCTAATCTACACTTTTCCCATTTTTCAGGGAATTTCTAGAATTTTTCTCAAATTTTCCCGTTTTACCTTTTCTGGACCGATAATTATGAAAATGTCAGTCCGGATGACAGTAACTTAGAGTTCAACCTCAATAAAACCCCACATTTCACAGCTACTCAATTTAAAATAGTTGAATTTGGTTTAGTAGATGACAACTATGCTGTTAGAGATGATCATTGTGAAGAAATTTGGAAGGATAACCATTAGTAAGGCCTAAATCAATAGTTTAACCCATTATTAAATTTATTTCATGTTTATTAGTTATTAATCTTGCATTATTGCTTCTTATTCTTAAATTTATTGGTTGTTTTTAGAATAGAAAATAGATGGATCTGATCAGCAAGGTTTTGGTAACAACAACAGTTCCTCTACTAGGAAGAAAAGAGGTAAAGGGCCAACCCATATGAGAATAATAGCTTTGCGTGATGAGGCCACATAGCCCATGAGAATAACAGTACAATTAGATGATGATTCAAAGGCAATAGGTCCTGGAGGGGCTTAGCTATATAGTTACATGGGTTATATAGCATGCAACAAGATTAGTACTAAATATACTAATTGGAGGTTGACATACCAAAATGTAAAGGACAATATCTTAGAGGATATTTTGGAACATTTCAAGCTCTCTCTTTCCTTTATTTGTTCAAATTATAGTGATTATTTACTTCAAAATTTGTTGTATTTTATTGCAGCTCACTTTTGATATTCCCGCCACAGAGGAGATAAAGTGTCATATATTAAAGCAAGCGGATGAACAGTGGAGAGATTTTGAATCCACGTTTGCAAGGAAGTACCTCTATGGAAAAAAGATGGGTGAACATCCCAAGGATCGATTCCCCTACATTAGTGACAAGGCATGAGAGAAGTTTGCCAAGCAACAGGAAGGCACTACATTTTAGGTTTGGTTTTTTTTTTACAAACATAGTTATGAATGAATTTATAATTTGATTAACTAAACTAACCTTTTTAAATTTGTTTCATTGTCATAAACACTGAGTAGGAAGAACAAACAAATATCTGAGCAAAATATGAACTCACATATCATGTCTCATTGGGGCTACAATGGCTTAGAAGGGTTATGATAGTGGAGCGATTGCAAGCTGTGGAAAAGGTTGCTATTTCAGACCCTACTCAAGTCATTTCGCCCATCCAATGTCTTTCTAGCCAAGATAATGGAAGATGACAAATGTCATATCTTCTTAATTTTAACTTGGTAAATGAGGAATTTAAAGAGACAGAGACGGAACAACTTTTGAAGTGAAACCTGAGTAGGAACCAAACTGTCATTTTGAAAAGTTCTGGTTAAGAAAAGGTAA